CCTCAGGGACTTATTCCGGTGTGAACGCGATCTGTACTTAGTTCCATCGGGACACTAAGTGCTGGGAACTAAGTGCTGGGAACTAAGTAAGGCAAAGTACTTGGTGTGAAAGCGGCTGTTTTGTTCTTTTTAACCAAATATCTCTCAGAGGCGCGTGGGGAGTGGCTCCTTATATTCATCTAAAGTAACAGACAGATAATCAGCACTTTGGAAACAGGGCTGAAACAGAGAGGATTATGGGATGCTGCAATGATCTGTTTGGTGTTTGAAGCCAAACACTTCAGAGACAGGTTTTGTATATATCTGAGAGCTATAATATATTGATGAAAAACAGTAAAATAGGGGACCTTTAATTATATGTTTGAGACACACATATGAGTTTGAATCCAAAGTGAATCCATGCACTGCTCCTCACCTGGTCTGTATATGAAGTATTTACGGGACACGTGTGTGACGCCCTCAGTGACGGTCTGGCAGTAGAAGAGGCCGATGTAGTAGAAGGTGGGGGTTCGGATGGTGAAGCCTTTCTTGCTGTTCCATAAAATGACCCTGTGGTCTGGACTCAAGCTGAGGTTTGGGTACTGTAAGGGGAGAAGACAACAACTATCAAATATTGCTCCATGACACAAACATGACAGCGGGAATCACACACTTTTAAAAATCATATACAAATAGGATAACACAGCGTCACATTTACTATAGACCCTCCCAGGTTTTATAACACTTGGCTGCCCTGACATGGACACTTGTGTAACCTTGTTGTTTTTTTGGAGGCAGCCTCAAGGAAATGTTTACTAGAGTTTCTGTGACACGGTGGAAGCCTCCCACCCACTCTCAAGGGAACAGGTAGAGCCCCACCACCATCACACCCATTTCCCTCCCTGCAGACCCGCAGTGTGAACGGGCTGATGTCCCCCCCTCCCAGAGTGAGCAGACGCCACTTCGCTCCTCCTCAGAAACTCACTGTCTGAGCGCCCTTAGTGCCCCCTCTTGCCCCCATCCTCTAAACCTACATGTAGGAGTGTGCAAAGGTGGAGGGGGGGAAACCAGAGGAGCAGCGAAGGTCAGAGTGAGAAATGTGACTCTCATGGCATCCTGTTACTACAGGATATAGACATTTTGACTGGAACCCCAGGCTGACCTCCAGAGTCACTTTCACAGCCAGAGAGCAGACCCTCCTGGGTATTGTTCCCGCTGAGAAGGGTCATATTAGAGATCCAGGCAAAATCCCTCCAGGAAAAAAACACTCCAGAGATGTGACAGCACCGGGTGAGAGGAGGGAGATGAAGGAAGAGGAGGAGGGCTATTCTTAGAGTTATTACCTTTGAGGTTCCAGGCTTTTGTTTGGAGACAGGATAAAAACACATGTGAGTGTTGAAGCATCAGATTCATGCCGGTTTGTTCTGATGATAATTCTGCTCTTCCTGGATCCCAAATCATGAGTTCATCTCTCTTTTTAGCAGCTTTCCTTTTGTTCTGTAGCAGTCCATCAACCTGCTTTATTCACAACTGAAATATCTAAACAACTATTGGATGGACTGTTCAGACTCTCCTGTTCCCCAGAGGATCATCCTTTTACTTTTTCCCACCACTATGACACACACTTGCATTGTGATCAGTGAAATTTCGTCTCACCTATTGGCCGGTTTGACCTTAAAAGGTGGGGTAGGTAATTTCGGAGAAACCGGCTCGAGTGCGCTAGAATTTGAAAATACACAGCCGGAAAAAATGTGCCACTTCCTTACAGAGCCCCTCCTCCAACACACACGAACGCGCACATGACCAATGAGGGCACGAGATAAGTTTGTGCACACATGGAAGGCTGACAGGCAGGTAAGAATTGAAACAGAGCAATCTCATTCCTCTGCATGTTTTTAAAGCTAGGCTAAATGAAATGCTCGTTGATACTATGGGCACTTGTAAATGTCTATAACTATGTAAATGTATCCTGTAAATATAATGTATGATGTCCTTTATTGTTTTATGTTTCATGTGGAACCTATATGCTGCAGGTCTCCCTTGAAAAAGAGATCTATGATCTCAATGGGACCCATCTGGTTAAATAAAGGTTTGAAATGAAATGAAATGAGGTAGGCCATCTAGTTATTTTAGCCGGGCCGGCTCAGATGATTGGTCGTGCTTTTTACAGTACTACGGCTTCTTCCACAGATGACGTTTTTTTATGGATTTTTTGTCTAAGCACTTCAGATATTCATTGCTATCGGGATGTTAAGAGCATCCCATGGAATATAACAACAAGTGTATCTCGAGCCGGTTTCTCAAACTTACCTACCCCACCTTTAAGCTTATATCAGACATTCATATTGAGGTAGAGATGTTTGGAAGACTTTTATCGGGCAGAGAGGATCCAACAAAAAATATTGTAAGACATTTTTTAGATGTTGATCCAAACTACTGGCCTAAAGTCATGAAATATATTTTTTATTTTATTTATATATTTATTTGATAGTTTGCAGTGCACATTGATTGACATTTCTGTAACTGCGCCAGAGTTAGAGGCTATTTTTCGTCTGTAGTCCCTGGACAGATGTTGAAAGTCACCCTAAAAACAAAAAATTCATTTCAAATAACAGGTAAATACAATCAGTATCAATATCTGCTGCATTTATTTGACTATTTTGTTTTAATCTCTCTATTCAAATATATCAATTCCTCTATTAACTGTTGGTTTCTCCCATAACACACTCTCTCTTTGTTTTGTTTCTCTTTTGTTTTGTGCAAGCTATATGTGTCTTTTCCAAGTACTCTATTGTAGTTATCCCACAATAATCTCATGACGCACACTGAGTAATATTAATCGGTTTTCATGATTAAAGAACATTAACTGTACTTTGATCTCTCGTGGGCCAACAGTAGCTGCCTCTGCTTCCTGCTCTGGATGAACCAGCTGTTTAAAGCATCAGGCGGGGGAAGTTGGCAGCCAGGACTCGTACTACAAGAGGCTGAGGGTGAGTTGCGAGGAAGTGGTGCTGGACCGGGGCCAAAGGGGCACTCCAGACGCCATGTCCTGTCTCCAGAGGTAGAAACGGTGCCAACGGGACGCTGTGGGCGCCGCTCCATCGGAAAAAGACAGTAAATGAAGCGGCATATTGGACCAGTGGGTATATTCAGATTGAAGTAGATATATATGGTTTTCTTACATTCACAGTCATATAACATCCATACAGCAACATACAAAAACACTTCAAATGCTGCTCTTTGCACTTCTGTTCCCTCCTCTCACTCAGCACTTAGGCAGCAACACTCACAACCATATCCGCACACACTTTCACACATATCCGCATACATACACAAACAAGCGGACACACACACCACCGCGCAAAGGCTGCCAAGATAAGAACAATGTGGCGAATGATCTGGAGAGGTGGGAAACAGCGGGACGGTACATTGTGTACATTCGTGAGCCCTGATCCACAAAACTGGGAAGTGATGATGTGCGGAGAATGTGAGCGGGGTGGAAGTGTGGAGGAACACTCATGCATGTAGATGTGGTGATACAAAAATACATCCCAATTATTTGGTTCATTGTCCTTGCACTGACCTTGACCAGCGTGGTGGTGATGTTGGGGTGTGTGACCCTGCAGGGGATGTCCAGCGGCTGCTTGTCCTTCATGTACAACACATCTGGGCTCATATCAGGGTGGTCCACAAATGGCTGCTGGCTGTCTGAAACCCAAACACTGCGGTCATGGACACATAATGTACAGATGATAAGCACTTCAAACAAATGTCTTGCACTCCTTATTCCTCATGTGATCTATCATTTAGGCTATACAACCGCAGGTACAGTAAAAAAGGGTCAGTTGATGACATAAATCAAGCCTGTTGCAGCTTCTCAGAGCTCATGTTGACCTTTTTACAAATGTCTTCTTTTGTACCACCGAAAAATACAATTTGAAAATCAGCCAATCCTGACAAGCTATAACAATAAATAAATGCTAGGAATCTTGCTAAACTTGTTATGCTGGAACGGATGCCGTTTCGGGAAAGAGATGCTGCTTTTGTATTTTCTTAAGGATGTGAGCAGCAAATATCCCTCAACATCGACCCCCTAAAGTCAATGCATGTCTGCAAGATTGGGAGCACAATGAAGCTTAAAGTAAGGATATTTGATTTACTGGTAACATTTGGCCAGAGCACTTTGTTTTACTACCTTATTTCCATCTTTAAAGTTTAAAGTTGGCAGGACTTTGAGTGTCTTTTGTAGGTCATCCTTCAGGCTGGGAAACACACTTTTGATCTCTCTGTTTTTATCCCACACACAGAGGATTCACATAAACTTGACTTTGACTTTTGATAGGGCAAAGAGAGCCTGATAGCCAAAACCCAGGGCAAAGAAATCCCATCATCCCGGGTGAGAATGACCTCCTTGACTTATTGAAAGAATATGATTTCCTATCATTATCTATGAACTGACCCTATGCATACAGAAAACAATCCCCTGCCTCTCTATAAGCACAAACACACACTTCCAAGTATGAATATCAGCAACAAACAAAAACAAACAGACACACACTCCTAAACATACTCCACACCCATTCATTGAATACCCATTCAGCAAATGTCTGCCTGCGGTCAACAATAAACACACAGATTGTTTAGAGGCAATCAAACGGCCTCTCTGGGCCTTCTCTCTGCTACTGTAATGGTCCTGTGTCATTGAACAGCGTGGGTGTTGCTCGCTGCATTGTTTGTTACCGTAGGGTGTTATTCAAGGAAAGAAAATCTCTGAACATTCGAACAAAAGTACCCAAAGGACCAGCGGACCGAGGGCTTCCTTCTCCTGCTTTGATTCCCTAATAGAGTGCTCTGGGAGGGAGGCAACGTCTGAGTAGAGCCGCAGGCCAAGTCTGAAGCTTAATGGACATGGTGACCTGAGCGATTGATGGCCCCCGAGGGTCCTGTTGGACGAACAGTAGCGTGGCCCTCGACCCTGGCCTGCCAGCGTCACCCTCCAGGACAGGGCGGGGCGGCGGGTAGACATCTTGCCTCCTCTGCCCCTTGATACCACTGAGCCACCAGCCTTCATCTTATCTCCACACACACACACACACACACACACACACACACACACACACACACACACACACACACACACACACACACACACACACACACACACACACACCTCCCCGCCACCACCTTGTAGAGACACAGCGACATCCCCTCCCTTCCCCTCCTCCCCCAAGCACAGGATGCTCCATGCAAGGCTGAGCCGAGCAGATAAGCCTGATGCCCTGGGAAACTCTGCCCAGGCCTGAGCCTTTCAGCAGCTGGGCTATTCCTGGCCTCGAGGTAGCACGTAAACGAAAGTAAAAAAGGATTTATATATAGATGACAGGGAGGTAGGACTGAGAAGAGAGAGGCAGGGGAGGAGGGCGTCCAAAGTCATCTAGAAGGATGTGTTGCTGGGACAAACAGTGTTTAGATATAATTGTCTCTCTGGCATTGGGCTGTATTTAGCACCCACCATATCCTGTTTAACCTGGGGATATAAACAATAAGCATAAGGGGGGGGGGAAGGAGTGAGGGTCTTGATGTTTTCCAGTTGTACTCTTGGACCTCGCAGCAGTTTCTTACCTGTGACATAAAGGTAGATGGAGGTCTGCCTGCGGGTCCGGTGCCGGTACCTGCAGCGGAGCAGGCCGGTGTGCTGGGTCTCGGTGCTGCTCACCGTCAGACGGCTGCAGAACAGCTTCCCCGTCCTCCCACAGCGAAACTCCTCCACCTGCACCTCGCCTCGAAGCAGACCTGAGGGGAAGGCCCACGCCAGCTCCCAGCGACCCCTGCTCAACATGAAGATGAACGTTTCCTCAGAAATCACACAGAAATCTTTAGATTCAAAAGAACATACGTAACATTCATCTGTTTGCAACTCATATATATCAATATTCCAATGACTGTATATAGACTATTCTGCACAGTTTCTATTCTATTCTGTTTCTATTCTATTCTATGTTATCTGTTGTATTGTGTTGCACTGTTGGAGGAGCCTGTGACCTCAGATGTTCACTGTCATAACTACACTGTCGCTAATGCACACATGACAATAAGAAACTTGAAACCTTGAGATCTGCATTCACCTCATGAGGATGCTATGGATGTTTCCTCTTCCTTTTCTGTCATGTTTTTGTGTTTTTAAGGATTAAAGATGGAAATGTTTGGAGGGATTGTTTTTGATTCAATCATGTTGGTTGCAATGCTACACCAATTTCCATATGAGGGTTTCCTGACCTGGATCCTTCTACCTGAAACTCACCTGCAGCTGAGCAGTAGCGTCTGGTTGGTGTCGAGGACCAGCTGCCGGGTTTTCACATCTAGAATCGGGACGCTGTACTTCCCCTTCTGAGCCTTGTCTGCAGAGATAAGACAGGATTAGAATCAGAGGACATGTAGTAGCGGTAAAATCCCAAAACGTTGTATAGGTAATCTGTTTGCAGTTCTAATGTGAGGAGGATTGGTTCATCAGAAAACAAGATAAGCACCAGATTCTGATTAAACTCTGAAATTGGGATTAGAGTTCTCGGACTCCATTGGAACAGGACGTCTTGTTTATTAATAACCCTAAAAGATGCAATTATGTTCTGATCATATAATTGGGCGTCATGAATGAGACTCTAAGTCCCTTTGTGTTGTCACTTAACTACATGAGCCCACTTTCCAAGGAAATCCTGGAGGACAAAACACTTTACAACCAATAAACATTGTGGACAGTTCCTGTAAGCTCTGAGCATCACAAACCGGACTAAACCGGACTCTTGACTGATGGCGGAACCAGTCTTGGTGTGTCTCGGCTCCACGGCACGTACTCCATCCAGGACACGGTATCTTTGACCCCTCTGCACATCTCCTCGCTCAGGCCACTTGACAACTCGTTGTGGAAATGCGTAAGCAGTGTCCTTTTTGTTTATCAAATAAATGCATTTCTCCACTCCATCGCTGAGGTTTATTAATGAGAGATGAAGACGACTGTCTGTCCGCCCTTCCTTCCTCACAACAACAGCGGAAACATCGTTCAGGGAAGTCCGTCCTTCACTCTGACTGCACAGAAAAGTGCTGAAAACACAACTGTCTCTCTGCTCTGAGTATTAAATCAGTTGTTTGGCAGCAAGCTTTTCACTAACGTCCATTATTACCATTCATTGTTCCCAGTGGATGCCCCATTGAGCAGATCTGGCATTACTCACACTGCTAGCACTTCCTATACCATTTCCTTGGATTTCACAGTGTGTGAGTAGCACGCACACACACACACACACACACACACACACACACACACACACACACACACACACACACACACACACACACACACACACACACACACACACACACACACACACACACACACACACACACACACACAACAGGGGAAGGGAAGACGGAGGGGAAGTGAGGGATCTCCTCCATGCCTTCTGGGGCCTTTTCAAAAAGCTGTGAAGGGTTGAAAACACAGCGCAGTTTTCCTGCTGATTTCATTAGAAAGATGTTTTTATTTCTAAATCACACATTTTAAACCACAGCAAAGTGAAAAACTATTATTTTCTATATGTTTCCACACACTTAGATATGGGAAACTTTAACTGACTGTGATTTTAAATACATTTCTGAAACGATTGTTCAAGATTTCTCCCAGTGAATAAACGTGCACCTCGTAACTTTTGGGGGTGATAAAACTACATTTGATCTGACACGCCTCAAACTGAAGGAGACAAAACATTTTCTGGAGAAATTGTCTGGATTTCAAAAGAACGAACTGAGCCAAATACTTACTGTTGTAATAATTCAAATGACTTTGATATTCGTTATGCATCATGTCATAGGCGTGGGCTTTATTACATTTGTTTTCAAAAAATATATCCACCTGTATTTTACATTTTTTAAAACACTATAAGGTTAATATAATAGCTAACTGACGGTAACTATGTTAAATGTAGGCTTTATGAATGTATGCTTATGCATGTTGGATATACAGTATCTCTCTAATTGTTAACTACATTTATTTATTTTAAATTTAGAATATTGTCAACAATTACACTAAACAATCCCTAACTATAAATACGTAATGCCGATCAGAGTAAGGCCATTCAAAGTTATTTGTGTAGATTCGTTTTTTTACTTCTCAAATAAACTAAACATTTAAAACAAGTATTTAAAAAACAAAAAGACTTAACAAAATTGCAACCCATGACTGCCCAATGTGTGTTAGTCATGAATATAAAATATATATTAAATTCAGTAAAAGAGATTAACTAGATTATCTGAACAGTCTATATAGTCTACATGATCAATTATATGAACTTTTTTTTCTTTGAGAATAATTGAAGTAATGAATAACAGCACAGATTGGGAGGGTTTGAGCAATAAGCAGACATTAACCCCTGATCCTGCTCACTGGATATTTTCCTCATACTGGTCATGACCCCTCGCTCTGTTAAATCTGAACTTTTCATTAGAGAAACTCATCAGTCTCAGGAAACAACGCCCTGCGTGTGTCCATTCAACCGGGGCCAAGCGCACAAGGAGCCGGGCCAAAGGGGTCCGCACTATCCAAACAAGTGTCCCGCAGGATAGCGCTTATCTCCCCCACTGCACTCGGCACTAATAGAGCTTTACAAGCCGGACTGCCCCAGACACACGACCGCACCGGCGGCTTAATTGACCAATAAATGAGCCATAAAGTGGCGCATCTGCGCGTCTATTGTATTCCTCCAAAGTGAAGACTGAATGTATAACGGTTTTGAAAGAGCGTCAAGATGCATTATTACCCAGGACTCTCCAGCTTATGGTAAATAATAAAAGTCGTGCGTAAAATGCACTTTCCGACATGCTTAACATTTGTAGCAAAACTAACAAACATTTGCCTGTGAATTAAAATACTACATAAATCATGTGAACACTACCTCGTTGATACAGCAGGTGATCTCTAACTGAACACTTGTTACTCACCTTTTGCAAGCACTCCATACAATCCACATAGCAGGCAGATGAGGATAAGGTTCATCATCTCTGGTGACTCCCGAGCAGCGAGCGAGGTTTCAAATGTAAATGATGGAAGGAGTTTTATTCCTGCTGATGTGTTTGCCCCTCCAGAGTAACTCAGCGCACTGATGGTCAGTGAATGGAGATGGTTGGTTTCCTGAGGATAGCTGCGGGAGATCACGCAACAGGACACCACGCTTGAACTCCAGTGCAACTTTTTCCCATCGTTTTGGATAGTGGCGCGGATATATACAGTTCCCACAGTGCAGCCACCGGATAGCGGACTTCCGTGACGTCCATTGACACACCCAAGGCGCGTAAGAGCAGTCCCCCTTTTAGCTCTCCCCAGTGATCAAGCAATCGACCAGTGAGTTGTAAATTAAATCAAATGGTGAAAAAAAACAACTCTTTCTTTTAGTCAAATTCCTAGGCATTATTTTAGACATTAACATTTAATTTCCTTTCTCATAATCTGCATGTTTTGTTATTTCCAGAAGAGTAGAATTACGCACCACCAGGAGGATGGGTACAGGCGACCAGGGTTTGCACTCTGGATTGGTAAACGGGATGATCAGCACGTAGGCACCGGAGAACACGGTCGGTTCCTCATCTTGACGATATTGCGAAATGGTGATCTATTTTAGTTTTAAAGTAAATAAAGAAGTGTTAACCTCAGAATAGCAACGCTTTACGCAACTCGGAAAACAGTTACTCAGACAGGTATTTGAATGTGACTTCCTGCTTACAATACATGTTATACTATTAGTGATAGTGCAGAGTAAAAACGATTGTGCTGTACAGGTGAGTCATATTGAACACCTTTCAGTCAAAAGCACCAACAACAAATGAGGCAATGAATCAATAGTTTAGATGAAGAACATTATATAAAACCTAATTTCACTTGTGGAAATTACTTAAAGACAAAACAGTATATAGGTAATAAGAAAATTGCAGCAATAATTAAAACAGTTTTGTCGAGACCTGCTGCATTGGAAATGGTTTCTTTAATGTAAAAGCATATTATCTGGTATCCTTATCAATGATTCAAACCCTACATCCTTTGGGTGTAAAATGCATTATTCCCTCAGGACATGAAATAAAAAATTGTGTGCATTGATTGGCCACAGGGTGGTGATGTGTGCTGATGGGAGGAACAGGAACATGCATGTGCGTCTGCGTAGAAAATATTGGTATAAAATGATCTTATATTGATCTGAATCTTAAGGCAGCATCAGAGTTTAAAGGGGAGTAGGCGTCACGCTGTTCACGGAGCATAAAGTATAAAGGAGGCACCGTAAAGATAAATTAAATCAAACTGAAATGCAAAATATATTATCACCTCCTATTGAGGGATTATTCACTTCTCTACCATTACAGAATATATTGGACATAATGCTACGACTCAACTCATGAAATGCACATACATACAGTACAGTACAATAACCACAAACATGAACACACACATACAGTACATGGACGAATGTAGATGAGAAATATACGGTTACATGTGTGTGTCCGGAGAGAACTCTTTCCACAGTGATTGTTGTTGGCAACACCTGATCGGACACTATAGTGAACCATCGCTGTGACAGGGAATACAGGAAGTACTCAGCTACATTTATATGCACAAGATAACCTGGCTAGTTATCATACTTTGGCCTGACTTAAGAATTAAATATTGACCCACAGATCAGTTAGTTTACATTAAAGAAGCTTAGTGTATAGGATACTTTAACAGAGTGCGGTTGGGGTTTTTCCTTCAAATGAATTCTTCCATTTATGCTAAACGACCCATAATCAAGTAAAAATAAACAGGTTACCTATTTTTGCCATAGCCGATGTCAATTTTGAGGAAGCTGGTTGTTTGAGCAGAGAGGATGGCCCGTGCTGGCCCGTTGCCATGGACACGCTCCCAAAAACGGACTGAATGTGTTGCCGTGAAATCACGACAACCGTCTGAAGATGGACTCCAGGTCTGAGACCTCTGTCCTGTGTGTTAAGACTGTTTGTTTTATTCTTCATGTCAGTGTGGTGTTCAGTCACACCTGTCCTTTAGTCTGCTGGTGGATCCAGGCGGTGAACTTCACCACCTGGGTGTAGACGCCGGGACGGTTCTGCCGCGCGCAGCCCTCGCCCCAGCTCACGATCCCCGCCAGGAACCAGCGGCGGCCTCGCTCCAGACACACCAACGGGCCTCCTGAGTCTCCCTGAGGACACACACACACACACACACACACACACACACACACACACACACACACACACACACACACACACACACACACACACACAGAAAGTTCGAGACAAACATTACATCACATTAAATGAAGCTCAGCGTAAGTTCTTTCAGGAAGACTGGTATTCATTCACTCCGCAGCTGCTTATAATCAGCTCATCACAGGTTTTCTGTTAACCTATTATTACATCCACCTCAATCTCAGCAGCCAATCAGCGTGCTGCAGCCAAACTTTAAAATGGTTCTCCTCTCTCCTGCAGTCAGCTGTGATTTCAGGCGTTCATGCTGCCGCCCGCCTCCTCCCCATCCACCTCCTTTCATCACATCCAGTGCCANTATATGCTCACGGCTGCATTTCCCCCTTTAGATATACCATTTCAGGATCGGGGTCTAATCGCCAAAGACTTAACATTTATCATATGACATGTGTCAATAAATGTTCTTTAAACAAAATGAAGTCTCTCCTGATTGAAATGGTCTTACTGACTTTTTGATGCGACTGAAAACTCATCTCTTTCGACTCCACTTCGAGAGATAGAATTACTAACAAAGCACTTATATACTAATAAAGG